TTCCAAAACCCATATGGTTTCTTGAAGTAGGAATCTCCAAAGGTGATAGAAGAAGGGTAGGACGCTATAGACTTGACCTTTAGCTTCTCCATCATGTCCTTAGACATTATGCTAACACTTGACCCTGGGTCACACAAAGCATTCTCAACCCTAAAGTTCCCAAGAGTGCAAGAGATAGTGAATTTCCCTGGATTACCAAGCTTTGGGAGGGAGGTGGGCTTCATCTGAATTGATTCAGAGGTGGAGGCACAATCTGTTGGCTTTACTTGACCAGTTGGCAGTTCCTTTGTTTCAATAGACACTGAATCATTCCCTTGCTGAACAGAAAGAACTGAACCGGCTGCCCCCACATTTTTTTCTCTCAATGTCCTCGTTGAGTTCATGTAAGAAGCCCATGAAATAATCTATAATGGTGTCTTCATCCTCATGAGTTTGTGCAGTCTCACTAGAAACTTGACCATAAAGGAGATCTTCAATCTCTTGCACAGCAGCTGAGTGGTCATCATTGGAGTAGATGGCATTGCAATAATCCCTTGGGTTTTAAACAGCTTTACCAAGAAGAGAGATTTGTGGTTCAGAAGTGCAGATGCCCTTGTTCTTTTTAATAGCCTTTAGTTCAGCGCCCAGTGTCTCCAGGTCAGATCCATCTTTTGTTGTCCTAGTAAGAGCTGTTGGAGAACAATATTGAAATCAGGACTTTGTTGAAAAGGTGGTGGGCCAAAACCAGGAAGAGGAGCCTTTGGCTGTAGGATGACTTGATTTGTGAAGCTATTCCCTTGATTCTGAACCGCTGGTTGCTGAAAACCCTGTTGACCTTGGGAGTTACCTTGGTTATGATTGTGTTGAACAAAGCTTTGAGGAGGGTATACTTGGTCTTGGGGGTTGGCCACATTGTTGCTCCTATAGGACAAGGTCTGGTGTTTGTTGAAGTTGTTGTAACCATTGAACTTGTTTTGATTCCCAATGAAGTGCAACTCCTCTTGAGTGAGACCCTCTTCATTGATATTTGTGAAGCATCTCTTCTCCTCACTCACATAGTTTATAGGCTTTTGAGTGGCAGCTAGGGCTTTGTCAAGCTTGATATTCAGCGCTTTGATCTTCTCTTCCAGCCCTTGGTTTCTACCAGATTCTTCTCCTCTATAGCTTCTATCATAATCTTCCCCATATGTGTCTTGGCTCATGGCTAAGTTCTCAATAAGTTCCATAGCTGCATTGATTTCTTTTGCTGAGAAATTCCCATTAGATGCTGTGTCCAACTGATTCCTGATCTTGGGGACAGCTCCTCTATATAAAGTGCTAAGGAGAGAGGCTTCTGAAAATCCATGATGTAGACACTGATTTGTGTAGCTTCTAAACCTGTCCAAAGCTTCTCCAAATGTCTCATTAGAATGTTGAGTGAAGCTGGAAATCTGATTCCTTAGCTTTGCAGTCCTTGAGCTTGAGAAGAACTTGGATAGAAAGGTAATCTTGCACCACTCCCATGTGTGGATGGATCCTCTTGGGAGGTTCTTTTCCCACTGATGTGCCTTATCTCCAAGGCTGAATGGGAATAATCTCAGTTTGAAGCTGTGTTCAGATACCCCATTGATCTTAGTGAGATCACAAACTCTGTCAAACTGATCCGGATGCTCCAAGGGATCCTCCATAGGTAAGCCATGGAACTACTGATTCTGAACCATATTGATCAAAGAGGCCTTCACCTCAAAGTTGTTGTTTTGGACAGGAGGTGGCCTGATTCCTGCTTCATACTGGTGTGCATAAGCTCGGTCATTCTCACCAACAAAGACCTGTGGAAGCTGATGACGTATTGGTGGCTTGGGGAAGGGTTGTGGCTGGTTAACTTGAGGTCGGTCATGGTTCTGGTTACCCTGAGCGTGTCCCTGATGGACCTGAGCCTGTTGAACTTGAATTCCAATCCCATTACCAGCTCTTTGACCGTGATCAGCTTCTCGAGCCTGATGCTCATTCCCAACTTGCTGATCCATCATTCCTAACCTTTCCAAGTGAACTGCTCTTTCTCTTTGTCTTCTTGCTTGGCTTCTTGTGATCATAAACCTGAAAACAAAGACAGAACTTGAAAAGTAAATAGCAAAACAGAAAGGTAAAAACTTGATCTCAAGAACAGATCAAAGACTAATGCTAAACAATCCACAATTTGGCAACGGCGCTAATTGATAGACAAGAGTTTTTTAGGCTCTTAAGGGCTATCAATCCCCTTTGGCAAAGTAGTATAAGGGGTGTCAATCCAAGAATGTGGAAGCTAGACACTTGACTATATGAACTGATTCTTAATTCAAGCAAACAAATGAAGTTTGGTTTGAACTAATGATTGAAACAAGAAACTAAACAATATAAAGAGAAGATAACAATGATAAACAAAGCAAACAAAGACAAGCAAATAACAAAATGATGATGGATGCAATATGATGAAACTAAGGCCTTAGACAGGATATTGGATTAGGGTGCATCAATGGTAAACTAGGGAGCTAATGAACCAATAATCACACAAAGCCATTCAACTTAGAACTCAGCATTAGATTAATCCACTCATGAAGGTATTAACCTCTATACTAATCTACTTTCATACCAAATTCCCATTTGAGACATATGAATCAATGAGCATTAAACATCAGTTCTAATATGTCATTCACACACAAAACATGAAATGCCTATGATCCAGACCCAAGTGATATTCAAGGATCTAGCCTTAAGAATAGCTAATTAGAGAATGGAAGATGCATGATCTAACTCCTAAACTCTCTAATCTAACATCTTTGCACCCTAATCTACCTATCTAAGACCTTATGAAAGAACTACTCGCTAATCATGATTAACACACTTAATCTTTTGCAAGATGTGATGTTAATCATGATTAGAAGCTTTGAATGATGAAAATAAATGGAAAAGAAACAGCCTTTAATGATTTAAGACGTGATATCTCTTCCCAAAATCTAGGTTTCACACAAAAGAGGCAAGGGAAACTAAGAGAGAATGAGATGTCCCTAGGGTTTTTTCCCAAAAAAATATATATAGCAAGGGTTTTGGGCCGGGTCAGCCCAGGAAAAACTGGGTACTGACCTGGCTTAGATGCGTCTGGTGGCTGGTGTGCGAGATGGTCACGTCCATGGCTGACCCGCACACCCATCTCGCACAAAAAGGCGCTCAAGACTCCTAGATGGTTAACTCCTTTCTCAGCCGCACATCCATCTAGCACTTCATCTTGCATGTTTTTGTGCGGCTCAGTACAGCTCCTCCCCCACTTGCAAGCCCAGGTCGCACACTCCAGAATGTATATGTGCGAGATGGTCACGTCCCTGCTCAGGTCGCACACCCAAGTCGGTGTAAATTGCGAACACGTGTGCTACATGGTTCCACTTCATGTCCAACTCGCAGGCCTATCTCGCACAGCATTGTGGACTTACTCAAATTTGATTCTGGAAGTCTCTACCTTGCTCAGAGTCTCCTTACACTCATCTCTAAAGTTGCAACTTGTTTCCAGAGCGTTGAACATTCATGGGTGCGAGTTAATCAAGTCGCAGTACCGTATCGCACAACCTAAGCCTTCTCGGACCACTTTGCATTCAGGGGAGAGTAAATTCCAGGATATGGATCCAAATGACATGATTATAACTGAATTAGAAAGAGCAATCCAATATCTCGAACTTTGGTGAAGGAACCCTCAACGCTTGGGAAGTGAAAGGTTCTCTGGAGGGCTCATCTTTGCAGTACATTGACACGGTCAGAAAGATGCTTCTAGACATGTGTCCATTCCAGAAATGTTATCTTCTTGCTCATGGTTTCAAATTGAATGATCTCAAACGTTATGGAAATAGGACTCAAATATCTAAAATCTTGATGACGTACCTGTAGATTGAATCGGTCTGGAAGTGCATCGTCCTTCGCAATCTTCGGAGCTCATCGGGTCAGACCAAAACAGTAGCCAGACAGGCGTGCCTTCCGGTGAGCTTAACTCTCTACTAACGCCTCCAAATCCTATGATTCTACCTGCTCTGGAAACATGATCCAATATTCTCCAACTTTGATGAATCATCCGACAACTGAATCGGACTGGAAGGTTCCCCGGACAGGCAATCTTTCAGGCATATCGGATTGCTCCGGAATGGATGTGAGATAGGTCTGTCTTCCGGTGACCGTATCTTTCAGCTCAGTGCTCCAAATTCCCTGATTCAAACTTTCCTGGGTTCTTGACTCAATTATCTCCAACCTTTCTAAAGACCCTGTAAGCTGAATCGGCCGGAAAGATCTTCCGGTGACGCAATTTCGAAAATGTATCTGCACCCCGGAATTTTGGCCGAGAAACTTTAACGGCCGGTACGCGTTTTGGCCGAGAAATCCACCCGCGGTTATTGAAAATCGCCAAGAAAAAGCTTCCTGCGGTACAGGCCAGCGCCAAGAACCTCTCAAAGGCTGTTTTCACCATTTTTAAAGTTCTGATCACCATTTCTTTTCTTGGTTTCACCTTTTCAGCTCCAAATAGCTCCAAATACACCTGATAAGCACTCCAAACCATGCAAAGACTCATTGGGACCTTATGCAACCCCTAAGCCCTAAAACAACACATAAAGGCCTAAAATGCATGAAATCTCCTTTATATAAAAGGAGCTGAATTCCTGGCTTCTCAAGCCATCCACGTCAGCAAAATAATAGGAGAAAATAATCAGCCAATAAAAACCCTTAAATTTGCCACTTCATCAGAATATTTTTAAATAAGAATTATCATTCATCACAAGAGTAGAAAACACGTCGGCCCATTTAATCTAGGTCCACCAACCTCCAGCCCGAATTTAAACAACTCCCCCTACAATAAAAAAAAAAGTTCAATAAACTGACCTACAAAGCCCAATAGAAAACATTCCAAAAAAACCTCAGTCTAGCCCATAACGAGGAAAAAAATTTTTTTTTCCTAGCCATCTCCACGCTCAACTGAGCGTGCTTCAGACCCTAATTAAATTGACCTGAAACAGCTTCGACTCCAACGATTCATCTTCATCTCATCTTCTATTCCGCTTCAACAAAAGGAAATCTCAAACCAGAAGCCGTTACCCAAGAAAATGTACTTTAATTCACCATCAAAGATGCTTCACACTAAAATCACCACTACAACCTCAAACCACGATGGAGAATCCAAAACGTCAACCGTTCTTAAAAAATTCCATTTCACTTCCACATCTCCATCCTCTTTATATACACTTCGAGCAGTCCCCGAATTAAAACGATAGTGGTTATATCTAGATACCCATAGACCGAGTCAAGAGGCCTCAAGAGATTTTGATTGGAGCCAATTTCATCTTCAGTTCGAGAGGTAGGACGCTGCGCCATTGTTACAGCGCTGGGGGAAGGCAAATGAGGTAATTGTCCATATTTTCTAATATAGGTTTTATGAAATCACACAAGTTTTAGAATACAATCCCACGCTTCCAAACATCAAAACCATTGTAGTTTTTCATCATCTTTACACTTAAAGATACACTTCAATAATAAAAACAGATAAAAGTATAAAACTAATACGCTTTTTTAAGGGAAAATATGGAATATAATTCAAGGTATGGCTGAAAGAATGAACATATATTCCTCCGCATTTTTCACATCTTCAAAAGTTATGGCCGACACCATAATTTGCTGATGGGTAAAATGAAATCGAGGTCATACAATTTGTGTTCTGGTGATAATGTAAGTTTGGAATCATATTCACTACAACGTTCAAAAGCTCAAAATTATCTTTATCACATGTGGTTAATACGTTAAGGTACTACACTCTATTAGAGATGGTACATCAAAGAAAATTCAGGTATGTAGATCATCAATGTTTTGGTGAATTTTTAAACCACCGCTCATATAAAATCAACCCTGGTTCTTTTTCTGTAGGGAAAATAATATAGATTGGTTCACTGTTTGTTGTTCTCACATTTTCTTGCATCATACAAGAAGCTTCCCAACTGAACCTATTATCTAAAATTTAAAAGTGAAGTTGGTAGACGATGACAATTCTATGAATTTAGCCGGTTAATATAAGCTGGTGAGTTTGTGTCGTATGGCAAACTCATCATGTCCGTAAATAGAACTAAAAACTTAGTTGATTAAATTAGTATATTTGAAAGAAAAAAAATAGAACAGAGTAGCCATCGATTATTGACGACGTAGAGTTTGTGTTTTACATTTGCAAAACTGTCCACTTGCTTCTCTAATGGCTACTAATTTCGTTTTCAACTCATATCAAAACTGTTGACTTTCTGAGCTGCGCTTATTCCTCCTTTTGTCGACATCTACAGAAATATCAGTTTGGTTCCACCTTAACACTCTTCTGTGGTGCTTTTCGGTGGCATTTCCATTTTTATACATTTCACATATTGAAATATGGGATGCTAACGATGTTTACTCTTAATTCCACCATTTTTCAGATTTATGGATGAAGAAGGGTCACACATCAGGTTACTATAAGGTGGAGTGAAACGTATTGAGATCTCTGCAAAGTATTTGACGGACCAGACAATATAGATATCAAGCTTAGGGAACCCCATCGATTTTCAAGGTAATTTAATTGGCAAACCATATTTGTAAGGATATAGCTTATCAATCTGTCCTTTTGAAGCTCCTGAACGGTAATCTGATAAATGCTCATCATTAACCACTCTCTTGAATTAGTTGTACGGTATACAATGCATAGAAGAAGCTTCAACTTAAGTTTACAGGGTTTTTAATGTCTCAATGTCATAATCAAGGTAGCTACATAGATAGTGGCGTACAATTTCTATAGCATGTATACATGGTTTGTGATTGGTGCCCATACAAAAAAAAACTATTCGACCTATCTAGGCACTGCTTAGTGCTCTTCCAGTGATGTTGAGTAGCCGTAGAATTTATATCATCCATTATCAAAGTAAATAAGAGGAATTACTTTTAACTTCTAAATTGTTGCCGTTTTTTTCTCGGGCTGGTGCCATGGGATTAGAACACATTTAAGAAAATAGAATAAGTATGTTTTTCTCCCAAGATCTATCTAAGAGAAGCCTCTCTCTAATTTTTTTATTCCGAAAACAAGTTAAGAGGATGTAACAATATCGTTTATTTAAGCATGATGTCGTCGAGCATGTGCCAGAGCTAATGTCACTGTCCTCGGAAGTCATACCTCTTAATTCTTTTTAACTTTACTACTGGCATTAAGACAGAGACGAAGTAGTTATTAAGGATTGTGAAGTCCAAGCCTCAAAAGGAATCATGTGACAACTACCATCTCCATAAGGAAAAAAGAATGCCCTCTTCTTCTTTTATTGACATCAAAGATTGCCCTCTTTTACCAAAAAAAAAAAGATTGCCCTTTTTTTGTATGTTTGTGCGTTTTTTGTATTTCTGTTTCAATGTGTACAGGAAAATAATGTATCATAATTTAGAGATTTACAATTAAATAGACTATTGTAGTTAAACAATAATCTTATATAAAAAATAATTACATCTTCATGAATCTACATCTGCCTTATTTTTATGACTAATAGGTTTCACAAAAAGTGGATTCTAGATAGGTTATTTTTAAGACAAATTTATTGACAAAAAAGGAAATAATATGAATCTATCTATGCAGGTTTTTTTTTAAAAAAAAAGTGGTGCAACATTCATCGGCCATAACAATAAACAAAAGAAAATTTAAAACTATGACAAGGTATGTAATGTGGATTGTAAGCTGTAAAGCATGATCTACCAATCTAAGAATCTAATTTTCTTTTTATTAACTGTATTTGGTTGGAATTATCAGCTTCACAACTTTTCTTTTACAACATAATTAAACCATTGAGTTCAACCCAAATATATAATCACTTAAAACTAACAAAATTTTATGAAAAAAACCCGGGCGTAGCCCGGGGTAAGCCCTAGTAAAACATGATTTGGAATGAATTATACAACCTAAATGCTGCAAATTATGAACATATCCCTAAACAACTATCTCTCTCAAGCATTACTAGTAGGTTTCTACTCTGGTCCTGGAAGGGAGTAGATGCAATAGTTTGAACAAGACACATCAACATTTACAACTCATCGATAGATAAGTTTCCACTCCTATAGTAGACTTGCTCGTTTCACCCTAGGTCAGACAATCAATGAAAATATTCGCAACATATGATATCTAGATTGGATTCTAAGTGGCCAACAGAGAATCACGCAATAGGAATAAAGGTAAATGAAGAATACCTAGAAGATAATAAATCTTAAATGTATCGATTCATAGATGAGACACACGTATTTCACTTTGAAAAATCCCTTTAAACCCAACTAGGAAACTACTCAAACATATTGTAACAAAGCATCATGAACGTATTGAGATTGCTGGAAATTAAAAAGAGCAAAGAAGAAAACCGAAGAACAGAGTTGCAGGTGGAGGCGCAATGATGCTCTCCGTCGGTGGCTCCTTCTTAGAAATCAACGGCTTCTAGGGTTTGAGGCACACACAAAAATCTAAGCACACCCCTTTAGAAAGACCTAAAGGAGGTATTTGTAGATTATGGAGTTGTCTTGGAAACTAAGGGCTTCAAAAATAATAAAGGGAATCTACTTGGGATTTAATTTGGTTGGCTGGGAAGTGAACGTTGTCTGGCCACGTTCGCAGTGCTTCTACCCGTGAGGAAATATGCCATGGCGGCGGTCTCCGCTTGCGCTGTCTTCCGAGACTGTATTTTTTGTCTTTATTGCATCGGTAGTATCTAACGATCTAACCGTTGGATTGTGTCCAAACCAAGTGTTAGAAAGCTAGTTGTTTCCTCTATGTTGTCTAAAACATTGGGGCTGATCGGACGGTGATAAGGTCATCATCGCGTGCCATACTTCTAACGGTTTGCATTTATCCAAAAATTGTTCATTTGTTTCAAATTGCATATCTTTTGCCCAAGTTCCCTGAAAAGTCTTTTGAAACTCTAAAACATTGAAAATACTTTAAAACTATTGAAAACAGAGTTAAAATACATGCGTAAGACATCATTACGATCCATAAAAGTGGTCAAAATACGGTGATCAACTTTTCCAGACTTAAACCTTTGTTTGTCCTCAAACAAACTTAGATAAAGCCAGGAAAGAATTTTAAAAATCGCAGGAACTAAACAATATCTCAGTGACCGTCCTTCTAAACCATAACTTATCGTGGAACATCTATTTGGATCTAGTCTATAAAATTCTCACCAAAATATAAGCATAACTAGTCCGTTGATCCGTTGATGGTGACTTGATGTGTGTGTTGTGGGTTGTCAAGTTTTACCCTAATTGAAATCAATAGCCGCAAGTGCACAGCTGATGGATTGTAGTACTTAGGGATCGAATCCACAGGGAAGGAGAATCTTTTTCTGCAAAAAGCCTTTGAAATAAGTTAAAGTAAGGAAGTCTAGAACAAAAACGGTTTAGTGGGGGTTTGGTAGTGTGTTTAAAATCTAAAAACGAAATCTTAAAAGAGAATATGGAAATTAAATGGCGTAATAACTAAACTTAACGAAAATAACTAAAAATAATAAAAACGGATATTCTAATGCTTAAATGAAAATGAACTAAAAAGGAAAGACAATATTGAACTAAAGCTTAAAGAAAAATCGGTGTAAATCAATGGAAAAGAAAGCGTTGGGGTTCAGGGAAGTTTTCTCAGGGGTACGAACGATTCAAAACATTGCTAGAGAGTAAATTGATAAGATCTTAGCTTAAACTTTTCGAACTGGAGTCACGGATGTATGAATACGCCACTGTCGTGATCATAGCCAACTATCTCTCTCAACCCTGACCAATAAGTTTCCACTCTGGCCCTGGAAGAGAAGAGATGCATTATGTTTAAGACTCGTCCTAATTCACAAATCGCCCATAGGTAGGTTTCCACTCCTATGTTTGTTTTGCTCTCCCAAACTAGATTTGATACCTGATGAACACTTTCGTGTCACCAAGCATCTGGATCAGATTGTAGTTCATGACGCTACTCTCATGCAGTAAAAACGAATTCAGAAGAAAAAGTTCTAAGATTCAGCTCAATAGCCAATGGAATCCTCACCGAACATATAAATCCCCATCGAAAATCCCTTAATCCCAACAATAAAACTACTCAGACATAATGAACGAAATCAAAGACATAATATTAAGAAGTAGAATAGAAACCGAAATTGAAAAAGAAAGAACAAGGGTTCAAGAGAACAAATCTCTCTCTCTTTAAAAGCTAAAGCAAAAACAATAAGAATATGAAGTAAATATTTTGGTGGTGATAGTTACACGATTTCTAGGGCTCCTAAGACATGTATTTATAGTGCTCAAGACCTCTCTGGACGTCACTTAGGGTTTCTCCAAATGTGGGCTTCAGAAATGGGCTTATTGGGCTCGGAGGTTGAAGGCCGCGGTCGGGAGTGCTCTGACCGCGGTGGATGAGTGGTTTGCCGCAGTCGGGATGCTCCTGACCGCGGGAAAATGCTTGTTGGCCGCGGGTGGAAGTGCTGGCCAGCTGGTTTACGGGACATCTTGCTCTTCGCGTATCTTTTGATTTAACCGTTGGATTGCCAAGCTGTAAAGTGCACTGGAAAGCTGACACTTCCATCTTTAAGGTCTCCAAATTTGAGCTGGATCAGACGGTGAGAAGGCCTTCAATCAGGGGTGAACTTCTGACGGTTTGACTCTGAGCTGAAATCTGGTTTTCTGTCCATTTTGTTAAGCTTTTCCCTAAGTTACCTGAAAAGAGTCTTGGAACTACAAATACTAGAAAAACGTGATAAAAGTACTTAAAAGCAATTAAAAACATATAAAAAGTATTTCAAAACGATCCATAAAAGTGGTCAAAATACGGTGTTATCATCCGTCATGCAGAAATCTACACACTTAGATCTAACTTTCAGTCAACTAGCTCTCTACATTCATTATGTGTAATAGTGAATTCTCATCAAAGACATTATTCAGGGTAGACGGCGTTTGGCATTAAGACTATTTAAGCGGTGGAGTTTAAGTGTTTCGGGTTACCTGAAGTTCTGGAGGATGGAAGATATTATGCAAAAGTGCAAGAGAGAGTGGACCTGTTGATGTGCGCAATTTTCAGTCACTTCTTCTTGCCAAATGTTGTTGCATAATCCATGCTCTTTTGTTGTGAACAGTTGTTCCCCCAGACTTAGATCTTTTCCAAGAATCAGAAAGATGATCTCTAAAACTCCATATAATTCAAATCAAGCTTGCCTCAAGTATAAAACTTGATCCTCCTAGACTCTCTAAGGTTTTAAGTTTTTTTTCCTTCTTATTTTATGATTATTATTATTATTATCATTATTATTACTATTATTATTATTATTATTATTATTATTATTATTATTATTATTATTATTTTAGAAGAAGGGAGAAACAACCTTTTAGAGAGAGAGAGAGAGTCTAAGGGACGAAAATGTACTGATGTTTGGTGATTTTTCTGAGGCAAGCTAAGTTTTCTCCTTTGTTGAATCATTGTGGTGAATTCGCAGGTCTCCGTCTTTAGTGACTGAAAACCGCGTTGATCTTCATTCTGTCCAACGTTGTTGCACATATCTGCATATAGGACAATGAAAAACAAGAGTGTGTGTGGTTTGAAAGAGGATGGGTGAAGGTAGGGAACTAGGTAAAGGTGAACAAGCCATTCAAGATCAACAAAGAGTGGTAAAAAGGGTAAAGAGTCCTGAATGGATGATTTGTTTCCCTGATCTAATGCTTCAATGAGAAAATTAAGTAAATATTAAGTCTAGATGAAATGAGCTAGTATATCCTGTCAGAAAGAATCTCCATGAGTAGAAGTCTTCTGGTGGGAGTTTGTAGTACAAGTATTCTAGCTACCGCTTAGTCTAGGCCTAAATCCCAAAAGAGCAAAAAACGAGGATATAACGTAGAAGCACACTGGTCTAAATCAAAATAATATTGTATATTTATGTTCCTGGTTTGAAAACTTTTTAAAAAGCTTTTTGAAAAATTTTGTAAAAGATTTTGTGTGTCCAAAACAAACTCAAAACAAATCAAATTCCGTTAGTAACGAATGAACATCCTCCCCCCAGACTTATTTCACACTATCCTCAGTGTGATAAATCTTGGAAAGAATGGTAAAGAAAATAGAAAATTGAAATGTCTAAGTGTACTATCGTGCCGGAGACTATTGTTCGTAAACACGATGTTACCATGGTTGTAAAAGACATGACCGCTGGTCCAAACCTCTTGACCTTGGTCGAGAAGGGATGTTCCGCGGCTGGTTTCTTATGTGTTGCGGTGTTTGTTTCTTCTCCGGTTTATTGGCCTAGCTCGTCTTTTAGCCGTTCTTATTTGTAAAATCCTGAAATTAAATGAA